GGATGACATGTACTGATAGCAACTTACACCGAGGTGCTTCAGAAAGTCAGCTGCATTGATGGGTAGAGACTGGTGGCACATGACTGAGTGTGCAAATGGAGGGAAACATTGCTTGTAGAACCCAGATGCTGGGTGTATCCGCTTATGTGCAGTTCTTTCAACTTCTTTGAATGTTTGAGACTTTTTAGGATAAACTGTGGAGGAAAAGGATATCTGTATTTTTAAGAACACATTCACTGGCCAGACATATCTATTGTAAATAATTTGACATTAACATGAACTTCCTAATCATCAATGGTTTCTTTCTTCCTGGTATTTCTTTTTCTGTTAGTAATTCTTTCAAGTCTCAGTTGGTATGTTGCTCCCTCCAGGAAATTTCCTCTGACCTTCTGTCTTATTTGGGTTCTCTTCTCTGTTCCCAGAGCATCCCCGTCTACTTGTGCCATAGCCTTTATTACCTAGGACTGTAATCATTTACTTACTGTCCCAACCACTAGACTTGGAGTTTCATAGGTCAAAGACTACTTCTGGAATGCTTTTGGCACAAATAAAAACAACAGTAAGAGGGCTAGCAGGTGGTATGGTGACTAAGATGCTAGACTCCCACATAGTGGACTGTGATTCGGCTTGAAAATTACTCTGGGCCCGTGTGCACGCATGCCCCAAATCCTGAGAAGAATGGAGAAGGGATTGCAGTGTGGCCATCTCCCTGGGGAGTGATTTCTTACCTTCCTTCTCTCTGTCCGTCTCTGTTTTTCTCTGGTGAGCCCATGAGCCTTATGGCAAAGACAAGTGAAACAACAACCGTAAACAGCTGATCGTGGCTTGCGTGGTTGCTGGTTCTGTCTGCAGTAACTAGGGTGTGGTGATGGGCGTTGCCAGCTTGGCTGTGAGGCTCCTCTCCTTCCTCTCGTCTTCCTCTTATCATGCTTAGTTGGCTGAAGTAGTGATGTGGATTGGAAATAGCCACTGTAGCTATTCCGTTTTTAAACTACAGGATAATATTTTAGCAGAAATCTGTAGATTTATTAAATCTTCCAGTTCACTTCTGTTTCTTTTAGAAATTGACTTTATTTTTTGAAAATGGCAGTTCAGAATTAGATGTCTACATGTGTTTGAAAGGACCTTCCCTCCCAGCCTGGAAAAATAGTTATCCATTTTTATACAACTGTAATAATGTATAGAAACAAGGCTGCTTCAGGGAGATTATGTGACTGATTGATGGTCTGGGGGTTGCAGCCTCACTCACCAACTTCACCTCTGTGGCAAACAGTCGTAGAAATGAGATCAAAAGTGGTTTTACATTCCTAAACTGAAGCCTTTGAGAGGGGGTACCCTTTATCCCATTTATTCTATTTTAGTCACAATTCAAATGTGCTCAATAATTACCTAGTTAATTGCTTAGTTCAGTTATTAAAAAGCACATAATTAGCAAAGGGGGAGTGGAAATAATGGCTGGTTAGGCATATAAACTGAGGGTCAAGTGTAAGGGGGAGGACGTGCAGACGTGTGATCTGGACTCAGAGTAGCCCAAGGTGGGGCCCACAACTGCAGTACTGCGGATGATGACCCACAAGTGGCAGAGGCAGGCTTGTTTATGTTCAGTCTGTGTCGATTCAGAAAACAGACATGACACATGAAAAGTCACTTGCAAAGCTACATAAATACAATATTAAACAGGTTTTAAATGTGTATGGGAGTATATAGATCAAATTACTAGGAGAAAATTATGGTGAATATCCTATAGGATCATAGGTGCTTTTTTTCTTAAAGTTTTTCTTGGGCTAACCCATGGCATGGTGGTTAAGGTGACTGGATCCCACTTGACTATGCGTGTGATTTGAGTCCTGGACCTGGCAGCTTGAAAAACACGGGCACAAGTATGTGTACGCCCAAAATCCTGAGAGGCCAGATTGTGGCGTAGCCATCCTCCCAGGAAGTTATTTTCCACTTTCCTTCTCTCTGACTCTCTCTAGTGAGTGGACATACCCTACAGCAAACACTAAAGAAAAAGAAAGATAGGTTTTATTTTGTAACTTTACTACCAAGTATCATTACTTTTATACTTAATTATTTAAATGAATTTTTGTAGATTTTTTTTTTTTCCATAGGGCACATGCACACTCTCCAGAGAGTGACAGAGACAGAGAGAGGATAAGCGAGAAATCACCCCCTGGAGGAATGGTCACAACACAATCCTGTCTCTTCCATTCTCTTCTTGGGATTTAAACATCACACATGCCTGGTGTGATTTTCAAGTCTGGGACTTTATCTGTGGTTGGCCACATGAGAGTCCAGCACTGTCATCACTACGCCACCTGCTGTACCCTGCCCCCCCCCCGGCTTATTTTTTAAAGTTTTCTTATTTATTTCTTTCATAAGTGAGAGATACAGAGAGAACCGGCGAGAATGAATAGCCCCAATGGGGTCTTCGCAGTCCACCCACAGCCAGCACTGCATCATGGGAGCGTGCTTGCTTGGTAGATGTGGGGATGGCCCAGGGTGCCCCCGTGCTGGTCAGCCTCGCAGTGTCCTGTCTCTTACTGTTCCTCCACTTGGCTTCATTTTTCATTTTAAAGCCTTAAAGGAAAAATAGGGTATGCGGAGTGGTTCTTGTTCTGTTGTGTCGGTCACTTGGATAATACCACTTTTCTCACATTTTGCTGTTGTCTTTGTTAAAATTGGTAAACTAATGCTTCTGACAACATGTAGCAAGGAAGCCCTACTTGTTATGTGTGTTGGCTCTCATTTATGTCACTTTTCTTGTGATTTCCCAAGTTGGAATTATGGGCTTTAGCTGTGAGACTCCTCAGGGTCTTCACTGAGTTCCCCCCAGGAGGTTTTATTTAGCCTTCTGCCTGGTGCTCTAGGCCTGCCCCTGCCTGGGACCACTTTTAGTTCATTTATTGTCTTAAGAGGATTGTCATGGTGCCACATTAAAAAAATAATTATTTAATTTAACTTTATTCATTTATTTTTTCTTTTTTTGGAGAGGTTTTTTTCTTTTTCTTTTTCTTTCTTTCTTTTTTTTTTTTTTTTTTTTTTTCCTATAGGGCGTTTGTGTTCTCCAGAC